ACATGAAGGCCACTAGAGCAGTGCTGACCAGCAGACATACAATGTGAGCCACAAACATAATTTAAATTGTCTAATAACCATATTTCTTAAAAAGGAAAACAGCAAGTGAAATTAGTAATGTATTTTATTTAATCCAATATATCTAAAGTATTATCATTTCAAAATGTAATTAACATAAAAGATTATTAACAAGATATTTTACACTCTATTTTTCATACTAAGTCCTGGAAATCCAGTGTATATTTTATATATACAGTCTATTTTAATTTGGACAAACCACATTTCAAATGCATATATGGTTAAAGGCTACCATACTAGACAATACCACAGTAGAGAGTTTTGTGCAGAGATATGACATGATCTGATTATATTTTAACCAGGATTTTTCTGGGCCTATCTCTGCATTGTGTCAAATGAAAGTAATAACTTCGACCTCACAGAGTTTCACGATAATGAAATGAGATTATGTATATGAAGCATGGAGCCTAGCCTCTGGCACATAGTAATCAATAACTACTAGTTTCCTCCCCTTCTAATAAAATGATGTATTAGAAGCAAATTGTGCTACATAGAATTTTTAAATATAAAGCTTTGACAAGAAATTAATTTACTAATAATAGTAATTCTGAGCATTTATGAGCTAATACTGAATCTACAAAGATAAACAAAATGTGTTATGCCAGCCAGAAAGAAATGGATAATAGTAAAGGAGACAAATACTTTAAAAACCTAAAATAAAAGCTTTAACAGTTAAAACATATGAAATAAAATCACACAAAGTAATTAAAAATCATAAAATCCAATTTGCATTATACATAAAGTCTATTATTTGCCAATGTCGTGCTGCAGTTTTTGGCCAAGTGCTGAATTGAAAACCTCTGAAAAATGCTATGTGATTACTGTAAGTAAAAGTTAACACTACTTTATAAAATACTATTAAACAATGGATGTCAAGCTACCTAGACCTAATTATTTCTATTTATACATGGAAAACTTACAAATGGACATAGCTTTAGTCAGTATTATACACTATACTTTATACCCATATGTATACATTAGTGGGCATACAATTGGAACATTCTTAAATTACGCAGTGCTTCTATGCTGTCTTATATTATTCAGACAATTATTTCAATCTCAATTTCCTAAAGTCAAGCTAAATTTCCAGTTTTAATCAGAAAAATCACAATTTAGCAATATGTATTGAAACTTTAAAATGTTTATCCTTTTCACCTGATAACTCCACTTCTGAAAAGCTAGTATATGGAGAAAAGAATTTCTGCACGAAGACGTTAACTGAAACATGACTTATGTTAAATGTTTGGAAACAATCTAAATGTGCAACAATCAGGAAATTGCTAAATTAACTACACAGTGCATCCACTATGTAAAGTATTACAATATCATTAAATTATGGTTTTGAAGTTTCAGAAAAACAGGCAAAAGTGTACCATATGCTGAGTGGGAAAGAGCTGAATAATCACAGCATGAGTACAATAATGTTTTGTTTTATTTTTTGAAGATTATTTTTGCTGGGTACAGAATTCTAGGTTGGCAGAATTGGTTTCAGCATTTTTAAATGATTCATTTCTTGTCTTTTTGCATCCATGGGATAATGTTTTGTTTTGTTTTGTTTTATATATTTTATTGATTTTTTACAGAGAGGAAGGGAGAGGGAGAGGGAGCTAGAAACATCGATCAGCTGCCTCCTGCACACTCCCCACTGGGGATGTGCCTGCAACCAAGGTACATGCCCTTGACTGGAATCGAACCCAAGACCCTTGAGTCTGCAGGCCGACGCTCTATCCACTGAGCCAAACCGGTCAGGGCATGGGATAATGTTTTAAAAAGTTAAATAAAAACAAAAGACAGGAAATA